TGTACCCCAATATCAGAGAAACAAAAATGTGAAAAAGAGTGTTACATTTAGCCTTGTCTGTATTACCTTTATTTTACAGATGAGGAAACAGGCACAGGGAAGGGTTATTTGCATGAGAATGCAGAATTAGTCAGTGGTGGAGTCAGTTCTTCAACCAGGAAGTTTGGCTCTAAAACCTGTGTTCTTATTCACTGCTTTACAATCCTTCCATAAAGAAGGTATAAATGAATTATAAGCCAAGTACTGTGGGACTATGGATTAATCAAATGGGTGGTATTATGAAAGATTTAGAGGAAGTGATTGATCGTTAAGTTGGACTTAGAACCATGAGTGAAATTTTTCTAAGTAGAGGAGAAATGATAGTAGTAGTGATTTGGAAGTTCATGCAAATGTTAACTGGGCATGATTTAACTTTCCTTCTCAGGTGTCCCAGGCCTCTTTCCATTACCTACAAAATTTCAGATTACCTGTATTTGCCTTACCTGCCAAAAATTATCTATACCTCCTATACCTCATAACTTATCTTCAGAGCGGCTGGTGTGGTTTTTTTCATACCTGTAAGACCAGAGCACAAGATATGAGTTAATGAGTTATTTGATTGCTTCTCAGCTTGAAATGAAACCTTTAAATATGCATATCTACACAGTTATTTTACTCTCTAGCTTTTGTTCTTTTCCTTGCCAACCTTTATCAGTCTAAAAAGTGATACTTTACTGAATTCATATCTTTGTCACAGAATAATTTATAACTGGTTTTTGAAGACAAGTGAAATTCATTATAAATAACAGTTTGCATGTTGGGTCCAGTCTTATCAGAACATAATGAAATAAATTTGATGTATCCTGGCTAGTTAATAAAAGTGTCATCGAGTCTATCTAATAGCATTTTATTCTATGTATCTATTATATATATCTGCTTTGCCTTTAAAGAAAGCATGCACTTCACATTTTTGTAGGAAATTACATTTGCATAATGAAAATATTTTACAAAAGGAAGCACAATAGTAATAATATTAACACTTTATTAAGTGTTTTTTTGTATGCAGGACACCATTAAAGTACTTTCATGTATTAATGCATTTACTGTCCATGAAACCATAATTGCTGTTATTTCCCTTGTTTTATAAATGAGGAAACTAAGGCCCTGAGCTGTGCTGGGGCTAGAATTTGAAACTAGGAAGCTTGCCTCCAGATCCCACACTCTTACCTATTATTTTGTGCCTCTATAGTATTTTTGCAATCTTTTTGTTAATAGGTAATAGACTATTTGTCTATTAAAAAACTAGAGAACACTATTTCTTCTAGATGATGATAAATATAGAATGAAGCATAGTTTTGTTTGTATTACAGTAATTTTATGAAGATGGTTTGATTATCCTTTATCACTGCTAACTTTAAACTATTATTACTCCCAACTTGCAGGTTTTAAAATAGTGCCATATTGTTGTGTCCCTTTAAAAATTTTAATGACAGCCTTAAATTATCTAATTTGAATGAGGATAAAACAATAATGTTTATAACATTGTTACCCCTTGCTCACCCTCTCCAACCCTTTCTATAATAACTTAGTTTCTTGTAGAATATTTGAATGTGTTACAGGTCCAGATTTTATTACCCTCTAACTGAAGAGGGGTTTTTAATAGTGATGATTTTATTCTATGTATTGTATTAAGTGCATCAAAAGAACTTAGAAATTTTCAGTATTCCTTTTCAGCCTCTATTGTGGTTCTTATGAATTATGTGGATGCTTAATAAACTTAAAACTTAATTTAATTATAGAATCAATGACGTTCTAGCCCCCCCCCCCCCACTACCTAAAAACCTCTGAAAATTAGGAAATAAGTAAAAATGACTTTAAATAACAAAAATCCATAGAAAAACTCATATACTTTACTTCTTGAAGTATGTCAGCCCCTCCTAAGTGCATTTTTTAGTGGTTCCCAGCTGACAGTATTACTGAGTTAATTCAAGGTGATATTAGGCTTGCTTAAGTAAATATGTACAGTGATGGCAGTGGAGCAAGAGAAAAGGTAAACACTAAAATCCAATGAATTGCACTTAGAAATCTGGGCCCACTTAATTTTTGGAACAGGATGGTCTGTACACTTGAATTTTTCTTAAGAATAAATTCAACCCAATGTCTCTGTCCTTCAAGGAACAGATTGAATTATGATGATGATCAGAAATTGAGTATAAAACGTTTGCAGAAACGTGATTTATAATATTTTTGGTATATAAAGATCAGATTTTAAGTTATCTTGGGACATTTGCTTATATAGAATACTTTTACCTTTGGAAGTATTAATTCATATTTTCTAATTTCATAGACCCTGGTTGAGACAAAGTAACTATAAATCAATATTGTCATTTTAATTTATCCACATATATATTCTTTGCTTTTGTCTTAGCAACTATGAGTTAGTATTTAAGAAAACAGCTTCTGAAGTCAGACTTATTTGAATCTCACTTTATTAGTTATGTGGCTATGGACAAAAATATAACTTCACTGAGCTTTAGTTTCCTCATATCCTCCTATCTAATAAAAGGGTAATATGCAAATTGACTGTCACTCCAACACACAAGATAGCTGCACCCATATGGTCAATGATGGCTGCCCCCATGTGGACACAATATGGCCATCACAAGATAGCCAGCAGGGGAGGGCAGTTGTGAGGGACCAGGCCTGCAGGGGAGGGCAATTGGGAGGGAACAGGCCTGTAGGGGAGGGCAGTTGGGGATGACCATGCCTACAAGGGAGGGTAATTAGGGGCAATCAGGCCTGCAGGGGAGGGTAGTGGGGGAACCAGGCCTCCAGAGGAGGACAGTTGGGAGGGACAAGGCCTACAGGGGAGGGCAGTTGGGGGGAACCAGGCCTGCAGGGGAGGGCAGTTAGATGTAATCGAGCCAGCAGGGGAGTGGTTAGGGGGTGATCAGGCTGGCAGGCAGAAGCAGTTGGGGGCAAATCAGTCAGGCAGGCAGGCAAGCGGTGGGAGCCAACAGTCCTGGATTGTTAGAGGGATTTCTGACTGCCCATTTAGGTCCAATCCCACTGGGCAGTCAGGTATCCCTTGAGGGGTCCCAGATTGGAGAGGGTGCAAGCTAGACTGAAGGATATTTCCCCTCCTCCCTCCGCCCCATGCACAAATTTCATGCACGAATTTCATGCACTGGGCCTCTAGTATTATAATAAAAGCGTAATATGCTAACTAGACTCTGTTCCTTCTAGATGACCTTCTGGACAAAGCCGGGGTTGCAGGGGCCAAGGCAGAGGCAGTGGCCACAGCTGTGGGGGCTGAGCCCCTTGCACAGATTTTGTGCATCAGGCTTCTAGTATATTCATAACTAGTTATTTAGCAACTACTGTGCATCATGCACTATTTTAGGAGTGAGGGGATACATAGACGAACACAATGGTCAAAAAAATCCTGTCTTTATGGAATTTACATATGAGTTGGGAGAGACTGACAGTAAATAATGGCATAGTAATAGTATCTGTATTTGAGTCAGGATCATGTGAGGTAATTAATGCACATAAACTTTTCTAATAGTGTGGAATAAATGTGGGCGTCTGTTTTTATTTTATTTTTTCCTCCATTTTTTATTAAGGTATTAGATGTGTACATATCTTACCACTGTCCCCTCCCCCACTCCACTCCCATACCCCCCCGTGTCTTGCGTCCATGCATACAAGTCCTTCGCTTGATCTCTTATCTCCCCCACCTCTCCCTAACCTTCCTGCTGTAATTTGACAGTCTGCTTGATGCTTTACTGCCTCTGTATCTAACTTTTTGTACATCAGTTTATAATGTTCTTTATTATCCACAAATGAGTAAGGTCATGTGGTATTTTTTTTTTTTTTTCATTGACTGGCTTATTTCACTTAGCATGATGTTCTCCAGTTCCATCCAGGTTGCTACAAATGGTAAGAATTCCTTCTTTTTATGGCAGCATAGTATTCCATTGTGTAGATGTACCATAGTTTTCTGATCCAGTCATCTGCTGATGGGCACCCAGGCTGTTTCCAAATCTTAGCTATTGTAAATTTTGCTGCTATGAACATAGGGGTGCATATGTCCTTTCTGATTAGTGTTTCTAGTTTCTTAGGATATATTCCTAAAAGTGGGATTACTGGGTCAAGTGCGAGTTCCATTTGTTGGTATTTTAATGGGGAGTGCATTGAATCTATAGATTGCTTTGGGTAGTATGGACATTTCAATGATGTTGATTCTACCAATCCATGAACATGGTATGTTCTTCATCTGTTTATATCTTCCTCTGTCTCTTTTTTTAGTGTCTGGTGGTTTTTTTCGTATAGGTGTTTTACCTCCTTAGTTAAGTTTATTCTTAGGTATCTTAATTTTTTTTGGTGCGATGGTAAATGGGATTGCTTTTTTAGTCTCTTTCTGTAAGTTCATTATTGGTGTATAGAAATGCCATAGATTTCTTGGTGTTTTAATTTATTAAGTCTGTTAGTGTTTTTATGGAGTCTTTTAGGTTTTTTATGTACAATATATCACCTGTAAATAAGGACAGCTTTATTTCTTCTTTTCCAATTTGGATGCCTTTTATTTCTTTTTGTCTAATTACAATGGCTAATATTTCCAGTACTATGTCAAACAAGAGTGGTGAGAGTGGGCATCCCTATCTTCTTCCTGTTCTTAGGGGAAATGGTTTTAGTTTTTGCCCATTGAGTATGATGTTGGCTGTAGGTTTGTCATATAAGGCTTTTATTATGTTGAGGTATGATCCTTCTCTTCCCACCTTGTTGAGAGGCATCTATTATTTTTAGCGTTTGATTCTTGACTTCATATGATTAGTCCTATGTTGGCATAAAATTAAATTTATTGGGCATATTAGTCATCTTAAACATTAATAATTAGCAATACTCTATTATTGGTGATACTGAATACATTCATTTTCTCCTTATTGTTGATGGGTAAGGAGAAGTAGAGATAACATTTAATCTCATCAATATATGTACTTTGCTTTCTTTTACAACAGCCACCGAAAAAGACATCTAAAAAAGAAAAACCTAAACAGAAAGCCACTTCTAAAAGTAAAAAATCTGTAAAGAATGCTAATGTGAAAAAGGCAGATAGCAGCACCACCAAGAAGAATCAAAACAGTTCCAAAAAAGGTATGTTAGAAATTATACATTTTTAGCAACTTTAAAGATATACATACTGTAACATACTTTGTAAGTGTTTAGAAAATAGTTAAGCCGAAACTGGTTTGGCTCAGTGTTTAGAGCGTTGGCCTGCGGACAAAAGGGTGGGTCCCAGGTTCAATTCCGGTCAAGGGCATATACCTTGGTTGCGGGAACATCCCCAGTGGGAGGTGTGTAGGAGGCAGCTGGTTGAGGTTTCTAACTCTATCCCTCTCCCTTCCTCTCTGTAAAAAAATCAATAAAAATATATATATTAAAAAATAAATAAACTAGGAAGAACATTGGGAAAAAAGTAGTATACCAGTTTTTTATCGTTTATAATTTTTCAAAATTGACATTTGTATGTTTTATAGGTTATTTGTAGAGTGGTGATTTATAATTCCTTAAATCTAGATCCCTTTGAGAATCTAATGACTGCTTATAGAATTTTTCCCTATATATGTTGAGTGGTAATTTACTATGTAAGAAAAAATTTTATTCACATGTAATGTCTTACTTTTAGAAAGTGAATCTGAGGATAGTTCAGATGATGAACCTTTAATTAAAAAACTGAAGAAACCTCCTACAGATGAAGAGTTAAAGGAAACAGTAAAGAAATTATTGGCCAGTGCTAACTTGGAGGAAGTTACAATGAAACAGATTTGCAAAAAGGTACTTGGACAGGTGCTTGGATAAGTTTGCTTTTATTTGAAAATTTCTTTCACCCATTGTTCAGTTTGAAGCCAGATTCTAATATGCATTCATTCATTCATCGAACACATACTATTGAACTACATGCCAGGCACTCTGTTTACATGTCTGGAGTAACCACATTAAATATAGTAAGTCAAAGCCTCTGCTCTTTGGAGTTGTTTCATAAATAACAGTAGAATGTATACAGTGAATAAAGTGCTACATTCCAAACTGCATAGGAAACTATCTTTTCCTGATCTAGAAACATTTTATCGATGCATCTTTAGATTGTTAGTTTTACAAAGCAAAAATCTCAATATTGGGAAATTTTAGAATTTGGTTTCTTACAGTAAAGTGAAATTGAAATTAGAAATGTATCAGTTGTGAAATATTCTATACCTTCTGAAGACATCTTTTTTTAATTTATTCGTTCAGTACTCACTGAGTCTTTACTACATATCAGGCCCTGGGATAGATGTGGGAGGTAGAACTGGAGAAGAGATTACTTCGCTTTAGGGAGATATAACTTCACTTTCAGTCCAGTGGAATTGAAAGACATTTGTTTTGGTAATTAGAGTACAACTAGAGGCCCGACGCACGAAATTCATGCAAGGGGACCGGCCCTCAGCCCTTGTGGCCCCAGCTTCATCCGGAAGGCGTTTGGCTATCCCATCTAATTAACATATTACGCATTTATTATTATAGATGTTTGAGGGCTGTGTTGGAAGAGTGAAAAAGGTGCTACAGCTTTATCCAACTTGGGATTGAGGGAAAGGGGGTTGTGGAAACCTGGAAAAGCATCTAGGAAGAGATCTTGGAGGTTTAGCTGTGCCATACAATTGAGGAACATTGACACATTCACAAAATGTGACAAATAATGACTGTGAAGAATAGTGATTAGTTTAATTTGGCTGAAGACTAGACCTGGAAGTAAGTCACAGGTTAGAGAATACTAGTTTTTTAGTTTTTAAGTATGCCATGTTACAGAGTTTGGTTTTCTTCCTGAAACTAATGGAGAATTGGGAGATTAGGTAGGTTATTGAGAGCTATTTGGGTAAATTGTAACTCAATCAGGTTTTTATTTTTAATAGTCATCCCAGACACATCAAGGACAGATTGGTGAAAATAACAAGAAACCCAGTTCATGTCATAGTCAAAGTTACAGGGTTGGCATAATCCAAGTCAGATATCAAGAGAGCCTGGTTAAAAGTGGTAAAAGAATTGGGTGCATTAATCACAATAAGGAATAGAATAAAAGGTATACTTTTTGAGAAAAGATGAGTTTTGTTCCAAACATATTGAGATGGGGGTGCTTGGAACATCAAAGTGAGAGAAATTCTTAACATTGTAGCTCTCAAATTAGGAGAGAAACCTAGACTAGGATATTGCTGCAAGTTAAAACCAGAAATATAGATCGGCTGCCCACGGAAGAAGACAAAGGGTGAGAAAAGCAAAGGACAGAGTCCTGGAGAGGTAATTTCTACAGAATATAAGAAACTATAGAGTTAGTGGTAGAGGGAAGGCCAGAGGGTGGTGCTATGAAAGCCACAAGGAAACATTTTCAAGGGCGAGGCGTACTGCCAGTTAAAAGGAGTCGGCTTACATGGGGCAGTGGCTATGGAAAAGCAGCTACTTCACAGAAAAAAGCAAGCATGGCCTTTAAACAAATGAAAATGTGCATAGCCTTCCCTAAACTGATGAGGACGATAGAAATTAAAAGGGAATATTTTTATTAGCTTGACAAAATATTTATGAAGAATAAAAGTTTTCATGGTTGGCAAGGATATAGGGAAACATTTTCTCATGCTTTAAGATGTGTAAAAGCTTTGGAGATCAATTAGGTAGTATCTTAAAATTTAAATTGCAAATACCCTTTAACCTAGCAATTCCATTTCTAGGTCTCTATTCTAAAGACATAGTCACATCTGCACAAAATGATTATGATAATGTTCAGCATGTCCAATACTGAAAAGTCAGAAACCACATAAATGGCCTTCCATAGGGAAATTATTAAGTTGGTAACCACATCCGTATTTTTTGAATACTTTGTAGCAGTTGAAAAGAGCATGGAAAAACTTTTCAGGTATTGTCAAAATTTTAAAACATGGAATATTCCATTTATCTAAATGCAGAAATACTATATTTCCATTGATACGTTTGTGTATAAACTCATTTTTCAAGGAAGATCTGGAAAAATACACAGCAAACTGGTAACTGGTTTCCTCTGAGAAGAGGGGCATGAAGGCAGAGTAGAGGGAAACTAGTTCTGTCCCTTTGAATGTTTGTTTTTTTTAGTACATTCATGTAATTTTAAACAGGGATTATTAATATGGAGAGGTCAGGTGAGAAGGACTTGAGGGTTTTTTGGACTGGACAATTAGGAGATAATTGTTTACCTAAGAGCAATTTAAATGGGTGGTAAATGAATAATGAGGAAAGTGAATGAATTAAAGCTTCTGTTTGAAGCATCTTACCTAAGGAGGGAAATAGATGAGGGAAGTGGATGCAAGTTAGTAAAATATTAAAGTCAGGGAGAGAAAGTACAAGCATGTGTTAGGCTGCTGTGAATGAAGCAGCTGAAGGCCAGGAGAGGATGGCTGTCTGCAGAAGGGCAGAAGATGGGAGTTGAACCTAGACACAAATAAACTGGAGGGAAAGAGATATGTCAGAAAGTAGAAAAAATTGTAATAATAGCTTCTTGGTTGAGAACAGGAATGTGGGACACTTGTGTAAGTGGATGAAATTGCCATTGACAGGAAGAATGAAAGGACCTGCTTAGAAATATTTGTGATTGCTGGGGAGGCTCTGACATGGAATACCATGGACTTACAACAGTATCAGTCTTTTCAAAGTGGTTAGCTGTTCCCACAGCATTCTTTCCTCTGGTCCTAACCATAGAAAAGTTGGTAGACCAATTCAGATTTGGAGGTTTGTAGAGAATGAACAAAAGACAGACAGAGGAGTGAAAATGATTGACTATATTATTTTCAGGAATTGGCAAACGATAGCGAGCAGGCCAATTCTATCTTGCTGTTTTTGTATTGTAACCTGGCCATGCCCTTTCATTTAAGTATTATTGCCTAGGGCAGCTTTCACGCTACAATGACATAGTTGATGTGACAGAAAATGCATTGTTGGAAAAGCTGAAAAGATTTATTAATCTGGTCCTTTAAAGAAAAGTTTGCTGACCTTGAACTACCGTATACCACAGGAGTGAAGATGGCAGGGTGCATTTGGAGTCAGGATTAGAAGTCATTGTGAAGTCAAGCAGCAGGTATCAGGTTGATAAAAGAGGGGAATTTAGAGTAAGATTTTAGGAATAGAGGACTCTTGAGACCAGGTGGGTCTGAGTGATTCAGATAGGAGGAGGGGATTGCGCAATGAGTAAAGGATAAAGTACACTAGAGTACAAGTTGAATTATAAGTAATTGGATGATATAACAGAAGAAAATGAGAATAAAGAATATCTGGCCTGCCAATATAAAGAATTCAGTTCACTTAGTTAAGATCTAAGTAGATGTTTTCCTCACTCATGTTTATTGTTAATTCAACTGATATTCCCAGTTTAAAACAAAATCCTTGCATGCTACTTTATTTTCTGCTCTATATAGAGTATTATTAAAACTCATTTGCAATGGAATTCTCTTGTGAACTAGAGTACTATTAGAACATACATGCAGCTATTTATATATACATTTCTTTTTTATCCAAAGATAGAGCATTATTGGATTTTTAACATAGTTTTTTATTTTCACTATAGGTATATGAAAATTACCCTGCTTATGATTTAACTGAAAGAAAAAGTTTCATAAAAACAACTGTTAAAGAGGTAAATATATCCACTGTTTCTAACTTTGATCATTTTAGACATGAGACAAAAAAAGTCTATATCAGAATTGCATCCTTTTCAAACTATCATACTAAATAACACATTTGGTCCTCAAATTTCCTCAAAATAGATGGGGGAAGATAGTTTTTATTCCCATTTTAGAGCTTAAAAAATAAAACCTGCACATTAGTGGCAACACCTGACCTTGGATGAGGAAAATGCAGGCTCGGTCTACTGGGAATCTCAGAGCACTCACACACTATTTGAGCACACCTTTCTGTCCACCAGTCAAAGGCAGGAGAAAATCAACAATAGCTATAGTTTCTGTGGATCCCAGCTAATTTTCCAAGATCACAATAGTAAAATAAAGTTTAAAAATGAAATAAAGTTTTATGCCTTATTTATACCTAATAGTGTATGTTTGGTGTGGGAAAATAATGTTTCTCTTTTCATTACAGCTAATTTCTTGAGAAAGAGGGCAGAGACAGATGACTTGTTCCATGGATTTGAAGATTTTGTTTATACCATTATACCAGCAAAGAGAATATTTCCTTTTCTAAATGCTTGCAAGCATTGTGTTGGTAGAATTTACTGACTTTTTTTTTTATCTTGGGTGTTAACGTAAATTTGCATTTGCCATTTTTTAAATTGCATTTCTATGCAGTTTTTAGTTTAAATTTTTGCATGGCAGTAATTGTTTCTTGCTTTTATAGTTCCATTTTGTACATTTTGAATTTCTTTATATAAGGTCATAAATTCTTGAACTGTTATTAGTGCAGTTAATATTAGCTTAAGACATTTTTAATTGAGTAGGACAGAAACTATTATAACTGGCATTTATACATGCAAAAACCAATGCAGTATTTAGAATATGACATATTTTGAATACAACACATGTCAGTGTAAAAACTCAATGGCAGTGTGTTCATCATATTAAGAATGTACAAATGTTAGCTGTCCAGATGAGTAAATTGGAACTTTTCTCCTGCATGTATAGATATGTCAATTTGTCAGCATGACAAAAGGGACAGATGTTATTTTTGTATTTTCCAAAACAAATTGGTTGTATATAGTTTTTTTATTTCTTGTGAGATCAATTTTTAAACCCATATAGATAGGTATCTTTACAGTCATAAACTGAAATGTCAGTGTTCAGCCAGATGGTATTACAGAGCAGTGGAAGTCAGAATTCAGTAAAGAAAACACTGAAGGACACAAACAGATAGTTCTCTACTTTGCTTTCAAAGTGTCGACTTTTAGTTTTAGTTTCAATTCTGCAACCATTGTCTATAGACACATTTTCTATTAAGGATAGGCCAAAATCAATAAATCAGAATTTCAAAAATTTAGGGAAAATTGGGATTAAGTATAAGAACATTGGCTTACAATAAATGACTGATTTTTTATTAACTGCTTTTGCCCATATAAAATGCTGGTATTTACAGTAAACCTGGATCTTTATAATTATGACAAAAATTACAAGATATAATGCTAGAAGATAATTGTGTAGGCAGTGTCTCTTGACAAAATATTTCTCAAAAATTGTAAGACTTTTTTTTTTTTAATATTTTTTATCGATTTTTCAGAGAGGAAGGGAGAAGGATAGAGAGCTAGAAATGTCAATGAGAGAGAAACATCGATCAGCTGCCTCTTGCACACCCCCTACTGGGGATGTGCCCGCAACCAATGTACATGCCCTTGACCGGAATCGAACTGGGACCTTTTAGTCCGCAGACTGATGCTCTATCCACTGAGCCAAACCGGTTTCGGCGGTACGACTTATTTTTAACATTAAAGAAATTTAATGTGTCTGTGGAATTAGAGCTATTGGGTTTTAAATTTTGGCTAAATCAGGATTCTAAGTGATTCAACATACAGGCCACCCCTGAATGAAACTAATTTGTCTTTTAAATTGACTGTCTTAATCAGTTTAATAATTTTTGAATTTTAAAACATGCTGCTTATGAGAGAATTAGGCCTTTTGATATACCAGTTGAGTATTTAAAATAAAAATATCTTTGCATCATAGAACAGAAATTTGTAAACATCTGTTGGTTGTTAACAGGTATTTTCACAGTTTGATTTGTTTCTTGATAAAATTGTTAAGACGTTAGAAAAAGATACACTTAATAAATGAATGAAATAAACTAAGACTTAAGAATTGGCTTTTGATTTTAAATATAATTCATTCCTATAAACTTTGTCAATAAAAGTAATGAACATGCTTTTCTCTCTCACATTTGATATCTTAGAAGTTTTTATAGCATTTACCCTCTGTATGAGAATTTCAGAACATGGGTTTTTAAGTGGATTTAGTCCTAGAGACAAGTAATGAGGATTTTAAAAAATATACACATTTACCATACTTAATATTAAGTAGGTTTTTCCTTTGTTTGTAGCACAAGTTTAAGCACCCAGAGACTAATAATTTACTGTGAGCCTTTTTAAATGAAAAATATTTTGCATTTATCACTTAAATTATAGCCTATGTAATTTAAGAGTGTTGTGCAGTGATTAAGTACACTACAAAGAAATTGCCTGGGAAAACCAGCAGTGATTTGCAAAAGTTGATCAAGGTTAACAGTTGTAATTGAAAGGGGCTATAGAGTAATGCTTATGACCTAAAGGTCTAAAAGAGGGTTTGGAGGTGAAAGGATTGAGTTGATGAGTGTAAAGTTCTTGATGAAAATGTAACTACTTAATAAGTGTGTTTTCATTACTACAGTGCACAGTGTATTTGAAAAACAAGTCTAGTTTTTATTATGTGATTTTACACAACAAGCTGTTCACAATCTGCAGTTAAAACACGGTATATTCACAGTTACTTAATTACAAAATCTCCCGAACAAAGAAAAACATATTCAAAGTAACTCAAGAATTTAAAGGAAAGTACCTTAAAAAACAAAATGTCAGATGTAGATACTTGAGACAATGAGGATCTTTTTATATACATTTACCATACTTTATTAAGTAGGTTTTCCTTTGAAGCACAAGTTTAAGTGCCCAGAGACGAAAGTAATAATTTACCGTGAACCATTTCAAACGTAAAATATTTTGCATTTATCACTTAACACATGCTATTCTTTAAATGTTTAACACCTTAAAGCGGGACACTCCTTAATAGTACCGAGTCATCAGATAAATACCAACATTTCCCTGTGTTAACACAAGCTAATATCCTTTATTTTTCTTTGATTTGTATCATACTTTGATGGGAGTGGAAGTGTGTCTGTGTTCACCAAAAACACCACACATTATTTGCACATGATACTTTGTATTTATAAGCTGACTCTAAATTTAAAAAATACCTATTTTGAGAAGTGGCTTTAAAATTATTTTGCATCCCTTTGTTTTTGAGTCCTTTTTTAAAGCAGACGGATATAATTGAAAAACCTGTTCAGAGACTTTAAAACAAAAGAGCTTATCCATGTTTTACCTGTAAACAAATTTCTTGGCAAGTTAAGCATCCTGAAGACCCTGAAAGCAATGTCTTATTTTTAATGACATTTTTTTGGTCATGAGTGACAAAAGAAGAAAGGAAGTGTTTGCCATGTTCTCAGACTCTTAGGATATGGCTTAGAAATTATGTAATATTTATCAGGATATCACATTTTCCTGCAGTTTTCCAGTGGACCTGCCTATGGAATACTGAAAACATAATTTTGTAAAAAAGACAGTGCGAAGAGGTTTTATTATTCTGACAAGGTATTTTGCTAGTAGTTGCCAAAATTAAGGCTATTTAAAGTGTGCCATTTGCCCAAACTTGGCTCAAAGAGAAATAGCCCTGTAGTTTATGTCTAGTATGAAGACCACAATGTCTCTACCCCATTTTCAATGGTATAAACCTGGTACTGCTGAAGAATTGAAAATTTTGCTCTTTTGCCAATGAGTGCACAAATCTAAAATGTTTTATCACAAAAGATACCTGAATTTAAATTTCTTTTGAAAATCCAATGGGAAGTATAATATAGTCTAGAAGCTTCATTAATTTTTGACTGAAAAGTTTGTGCTGTATCCAAAAAGGAAAGATTTCTATCTAAATTTTAAATAAAAGCTCAATACTGGAGCTATACAAAAATCTTAAGGCTCATTGGCAAAGGTAGTGATAAGTTGTCATAGAAGAAAAATACATGGCTCTATCTGTTTTTTTTAATGATTTCTCAGTGTCTGAGAACTGATCAGCTAAACAAAAGGTCAAATTTAAGGGACTCTCCAACCACGGAAGAGTCATTTTCAAGTTCTTAATTTAAGCCTATATCCTACCTTTTTCTGAAATTCAGAAGATTTAGCACTAGATTTGTGGAAAATGCAATAAAAAGTAAGTGCTTATAAATTGGTTCTTAGGGCTAATGCTTTCAGAGTGGTGACATGGGTTTACATTATCAAACCACCTTAGGAACAGTTCAGTTTTGTTATCCACAGAGGGTTTTGTTTGATTTTATGAAAGTGAGGTTAACATGTTTCAAACTTTCCCACTTGTACAGAAGAAAGCTGGGTCTAGACAGAATCCATTTAAAATGCTGCAATCTTGCTTGCTTCTCGAACGCCACTCAAATAGGCCCCTGTAACCGTTTGTGGGAAATGTCTGTTTGTTGCCTGTAAAAAATAATTGCACAATTTGAAGTCACGTATAAGGAATTCAGGTGATAGTCAAAGATGATACAAACTTATGCCTTCTGATCCTCCTAAAATAAAGACTAGTGCCACTCCTGTGTGCTGATGCTAACGGTACTCACTCATATAGCACTTGACCTTTTCTGGTGATCTTACATGCTTTACCAAACGCATTCATTCTATAATGTGAAGTATTGTTTGGCATTCAATAAGGTACTTACATATGCCAAATGCTGGAATTAAGTACAGTGAATAAGATATAGTGCTTCTCAATAGACAAATAATCTAGCTCTTAAGTCAGCAATAAAAACAAGCACAGAAATTGAATCACATTTAATCCACAGTTGATACTTTGCTAGATGGGTGGAACAAAAAGATGGAGTTGAGGTAATAGAAGAACAGAGTAGTAAAACACGAAGGGAAAAGTCAAAAGGTTGAGGAGCTGTCAATGGGATAACCTCACTGTCAAGGAGTTTGTAGTGGGAACAATATGCAAACCTAGAACTGGAAAGTAGGCCTGGGATATGGCTACTTTCCCATAGGGTGAAATGGAGTGAGCAAGTCTTGGGAAATGGGTAAGAAACAACATTCCATGTGAGCTACATGGTTAGGTTCCATGCCACCTAAATTGACGGCTGGGGTGAAAGGGATGTGACATGGAACCTAGAAGTGACAAAAACTCCAATCAATGGAAGGATCAGGTCAGCAGGAATACAATTACTATAGGAGGAGAGAGTGACTGGTAGCAACCACAAAAAAATGGCTTTTATAAGAAAATAACTATCAAAGGAAAGCAAAAAGGTTCTATATCCTGCTCATTATCTAGGGCACATAAGCATAATACGGCCATCACCTGGAAGCAGCTGACTGTTGCCAGGTATGCAGCCGTTACACCCTGTTCCTACAAAGCTGGCTCTTCACAGGCCAAGGACTAACCAAAGATCACTGGTTTCTATGCCAGGACCGGTTTGGCTCAGTGGATAGAGTGTCCGCTTGGGGACTGAAGGGCCCCCGGGTTCGATTCAGGTCAAGGGCATGTACCTTGGTTGCGGGCATATCCCCAGTAGGGGGTGTGCAAGAGGCAGCTGATCGATGACTCTCATTGATGTTTCTAACTATCTCCCTCCCTCTCTGTACAAAAATCAATAAAATATATTTTTAAAAAAAAACAAAGATCACTGGTTTCTAAATGATGGTCTTTTGTGATCATTTAAAAATTATTAGAGCCGAAACCAGTTTGGCTCAGTGGATAGAGCGTCAGCCTGTGGACTGAAAGGTCCCAGGTTCGATTCCAGTCAAGAGCATGTACCTTGGTTGCGGGCACATCCCCAGAAGGGTTGTGCAGGAGGCAGCTGATCAATGTTTCTCTTTCATCGATGTTTCTAACTTTCTATTCCTCTCCCTCTCTGTAAAAAATCAAAAAATGTTTTTAAAAA